ATTTTTCGGTAGCCAACTTCGTGAGTATATTTCGGCCGAATCCTTTGGAGTTATGGGGAAATTTTTGATGGTAATTGAAGAGGATATTGTGGGCTTTCCGACGATATCCAAATCAGGCGGTCTTGGTTGTTGGAAGTTGCTAGAAAATCGCCGCAAAACTTGTCCAAAAAATCTAAAAATTTAGTGGTCGTTTGTGAAAGAAATTCATACTTCAGTGACCGTTTCTGCAAGTTTTAAATTTCAGTGACCGTTTTGTGATTTTCAGGTAACTTCAGTGACCGTTTGTGAAAAATTAACCAGTTGATAGTAAGAACATTTGTGGCTCCCCTCAGGACAGTCTTAAGTCCTCATTGGAAAATTATACTGTAGACTGAATATGCTCTGTAAAGAAATGACTTTCATGTGCTAAACTATCCTTGTTTCATCAACTAATGCAGCTTTTCCTGGTCAGAGAAGCGTCGGGATGCTGACTTCCTTCCTGGTAGGTGATATTAAGTTTATTGCCAACAAAAATATGACTTGATGTGTATATCTAAGTATCTACTTTATTAGTCATGGTAAAATGATATTTTTGAAATTATTAAAATTATCCTTTTCTACACTTTGAAATGTATGTTAACAGTGTGGACCCAATTTTATTAGCTGAAGATTGAAAACAAATAAGAGGATAAGAAGAAGCTCTAGATTTTGCCCTAGTTTAGAATGGTTTTGCAGGCAAAACCATGGTGTAGGAAATCGAGTATGGAAAGAGATCAAAATCTTTCCATACTTGGTGTAGACATATTAATTATAGGCTGTAAATATTCTTTCCAATTAGGAGATTTATTTTTTCCTTTTTTTGGTTCCATTATTGTTATATAAGAGGATGTAAGTTGATATGATTCATTAACGAAATAAACACATTATTTCTGTCGTTTAGTTCATGGTATCAGAGCCTGGTTGTCTAAACCTAGCAACCTATGGCTGAACTTCCTGTCAATAGTTCGAGGTCCGTCGTCTCCGACGCCCCTCAAGTCGAAACTGAAGTGAACCCAACAATTGGTTCTCACGGTTTCGAGAATTCCTCTTTTCAACTTACCATCGAGAAGTTAAATGGAAAAAATTACAGAGAATGGGCCCAATCGATAAATTGGTGATTGATGGTAAGGGAAAAATGGGATATCTTACCGGCAACTTGAAGAAACCAACAGAAGCTACACTTCTTCAACGATGGAACTTTGAAAATTCGATGGTCATCGCCTGGCTGGTTAACTCCATGAACCAGCAATAGGGAAGACTTTTCTGTTTCTTCCTACTGCAAAAGAAGTTTGGGAGGCGGTAAGAGATATATACTCAGACACAGAGAACTCATCCCATACCTTCGAAATCAAGACTCGTTTGTGGCAAACGAAGCAGGGACCTAGAGAAGTTACCGACTATTTCATGGAAATGACTTCACTTTGGCAGGAACTCAACCTCAGTGGCGACGAAGAATGGAAGTGTGGAGATGACAGTGTGCGGTATAAGAAGAAACTCGAAAATGAAAGGGTGTATGAATTTTTGGCTGGCCTGAATCGCGATCTCGACGACGTCAGAGGCCGTGTTCTGGGCCGGCGATCGCTGCCTCCTCTTCGCGAGGTCTTCTCAGAGGTTCGAAGGGAGGAGGCTCGTCGTCTGATAATGCTGGACGAAGGAAAAGGGTCAACTGAAGTCTCGGCCCTTTTGATGAAAGGGAAAGGGCCAGGAATTGGTAGTAGAATTGGGCCACGATTTAAAGGCCCAATTGAAGAAAAAAATCAGTTTAATGGTTTTTCAAATGGAAAGGGTTTTGGGCTTGAAATTAATGGGCCAGAATACATGGGTATGACATCAAAAGGAGGAATAAATGGGTCAAATCAAAAACGTGGACGGTCGTGGTATGAGCATTGTCGTAAGCCCGGGCACAAAGAAGATACATGTTGGGATCTGCATGGAAAACCCGTCGATTGGAAGCCAAGACAAAACACTAGGAGCCGAGGATATCAAACTGAGGCAAAAATTAGCCCTGCTCCAAATGGTGCATTCAATTCTGAACAATTGGAACAACTTTACCAAATTTTCACCAATCTTCAAACCTCTGGTCAGTCTCTTCCTAATGGTCCTACAAGCTCCCTAGCTCATAAAGGTAATTTTTTAAAAGCCTTATTTACCACTTCAACATCGAAAACCTCCTGAATTGTAGACTCTGGAGCTTCCGATCATACGACGACGAATATCATCTTTTCTCCTCTTACTCAATGTGTGCTGGTAATGTTAAAGTAAAAATTGCTGATGGCTCCCTTTCATTTGTCGCAGGAAAGGGGAGTATTGAAATTTCTGACTCTATAACCCTCGAATCTGTTTTACATGTTCCTAATTTATTTTGCAATCTGTTATCAATTAGCAAACTCACCAGAGACTTAAATTTCTTTGCTAAATTTCTTCCGTCTCACTGTGTTTTTCAGGACCTATCATCGGGGAAGACGATTGGCAGTGCTAAAGAATGCGAGGGACTGTACTACTTTGAGGAAGCTGATATGAGTAAACTACATCAAATCATGGTTTAAAAAAACGTAAAAGGGTACTGAGGCGTTTTGTTGTCACGAGGCGAGGCGTAAGCCTCAAAACGTGGTGAGGCGTAAGCCTCACCACAAANAAAAATCACCACAAAACTTGACCAAAAAATCTGACAATTTAGTGACCGTTTGTGAAAGAAATTTATACTTCAGTGACCGTTTCTGCAAGTTTTAAATTTCAGTGACCGTTTTGTGATTTTCAGGTAATTTCAGTGACCGTTTGTGAAAAATTAACCAGTTGATATAGTCGTAATATTATTACTGTTTTGTTTTGTTGTTTTTCCTTTTCCTTCTATACTTCGGAATAGTCTTTATTGGATTATACTATTAAAAATAGTGTTGATTGTCGATGAATAAAATCATTCAGCCTAAATTTTAAGTTGTATCAGATCTTTGTTTGTCGAAAATTAAGGCCTATAAGATTAGGGTTGCCCGAAATTTAATTTTGACGTATATCTCTAAAACTTTGGTTGAAACATCTCTCGCTCTCTCTGTGGTGACCCTCTACACTCTATCTTGCTCTAACGACCCTTTATCACCCTTGAAAATTAGGCTTTCAAAAATTGAAGATCTAAAAATTTGGGTTTCAAATTCCAAACCCTAGAAATCAAATTCATAATTCAACCAATCTACCAGTACCTCATGCTCCTACAACCTTGTGTCCCCTCCTTGCTTGTGTGTAAGGCCTCTGTAGTGTTGTACGACTCTCTTTCTAGTGACCAGTCTATGAAGTATATTATTTTGTGCGCACAAACTCAAGGGACATCTCTTCTATGGTCCAGCAGCTCCATTGATTTTTGTGAATTCGTTTCTAGTGTCTTCGGTGCACGGTGTATGTTGGAAGGGAGTAGTTCGGGCCTCATTGTAATCACAAGGGGAAATTATTTCAAGATCCGCCCATGAAGTTTTCCAATTGTACATGTTGGTCTCTTAGGTTTTAGAATCCTGCATATTAGTCTCTAAACTTACTAAAAATTTAAATTTGGTCTCCGATCTTTCTGTTTGGTAGAACTTGAGTCCCCAAAGTTTCTATCTGAGATAAACTATCCTTAAATTTTCAAATTGGTATACTTTGACCATTAACCTCTCTTGCTTTAGTTGCATATCCTTCGACGACCTTTCTCAATATTGCTCCACCTAGACCTTGGTATGCCGTAAGATTATGACATATAAGGCCTCTCTTCTTCAAATCTAGCGATCTTCATCTGCTACATTTTGATTTTTTCAATGTGTTGCTCTCAATATGTCTGATGAAGGTGTTAAGACCCTTGCTTATAGTAAGAATGTTACTTTTTTTTTAAACTATTCATGAAACTATCTTACCTATTCATATGAAATTGGATGGGGCTAATTGCGATGTGTGATCTAAAATTCTGAAGATGTATGTTGTGGGTAAAAAGAGCTATATCACATGATGGAAAGTTGCACCGACTGAGAATGATTCAAATTAGTGAAACTGGAAATCTAGTAATGACAATTCTTGAATGTAGGTCTTGTTAGAGCCTAATCATGGCTGGACGCACAACCTTCGTTAATGCAGTAAATCACAACTACAATTAATAGTTTTATACTACAATTATTTATATCTTTTCTAGTTTTCTTGTATAGTTGTGTAGGACTTTTATCTTTTATTTGATTAGGACTATAGCTTCAATTTTCTAGTAGTATTAGGAGCAGGGAATAACATTGCCTATAAATATAGAGATACTATACACATTTTCAACTCAATCAATTACAAATCAATAAAAGTAAGATTATTCCAATATAGTTCTTTAATTACAATTCTTATTACAATAATTAATGACGCTTCTGCACCAAATAAGTATCAGAGCAAGAAAATTACCTCAATTTGATGGTTGAAGATGATCCTGGTGGCAACGAACGACGACTTTGAAAAACTTAAACAGCGACTAAAAGGGTTCGATGAGACGTTTCGCAATATCTCGTGATGCTGACTACGATGGCCCTTGAAAAGAACTGCAAACCCAGGATGGAAAAATCGGGAAGGCGTGAGACTCTTCGCAACATCACACAAATGCTGACTATGTTAACTATTTAGAATAATTGCGAGCCCTAGAGGTACAAGTTGGCGGCAAGATGTTGGCAGAAAGAAGACGACCTAGATTTCGGGGATAACGAAGGAGACACTGACTTGGACTCAGCGGACATCAACCCACAACCTAGACAAGGGCCGAACTTCAACCCAGGCCTGGAGGAGAGGCGTCGGCTCATCGTTGATCACCAATGACAACAGCTGGTGGGACCAAGGCTTGATAGGCTAGGCACGAGGGGGCACGAATTGTGACCTGCACGAACCCATGCCATTACGGGTTTACAAGAGCGAACTAAAGGAAAAGAAATCAAATCATGCTTCTTTTCCGAAAGAACGTCACATAATAATTGTTCGTGAAGAAAATATGATGAGCATGGTAGGGAAAAAGTTGGCTTTAAATAACGCAATTGGAGAATATAAAGACGTTTATCAAACACATGAAGAAGTTCAAATTTTTTCAATATTGGTATTGACAGAAATTTTTTAGTAATTTTCTCCCGATTAATTGACTTTCTTTTCTTCAACCAAACTCGAGGATGATCCTTTTTTCAAGTGGAAGAAAATGATGTGGGACAATCCTATTTTAAATAGGATAAAAATTAGATATTTATAATAAGATGTCTAGTTATAATA